AGATAGACAGACAGATAGATAGATAGAAAGATATATAGATAGACAGATAGATAGACAGACAGACAGATAGATAGAAAGATAGATAGATAGACAGATAGACAGACCGACAAACAGACAGACAGACAGACAGATAGACAGATAGATAGATAGACAGATAGATAGAAAGATAGACAGATAGAAAGATAGATAGACCGACAGACAGATAGATAGATAGACAGATAGATGGATGGATGGATGGATAGGTAGATAGATAGATAGATAGACAGACAGACAGACAGATAGATAGATAGATAGATAGATACATAGATAGATAGAACGATAGATAGATAGATGATAGACAGACAGACGACAGATATATAGACAGATAGATAGACAGATATATAGATAGACAGACAGATAGATAGACAGACAGATAGATAGATAGATACATAGATAGATAGAAAGACAGATAGATAGATAGACAGACAGATAGATGATAGATAGATAGATAGAATGATAGATAGATGATAGACAGAGAGACAGACAGACAGATAGATACATAGATAGATAGATAGAACGATAGATAGACAGACAGATAGATATATAGACAGATAGATAGACAGATATATAGATAGACAGATAGATAGACAGACAGATAGATAGATAGATACATAGATAGATAGAACGATAGACAGATAGATAGATAGACAGACAGATAGATAGATAGATAGATAGATAGAGAGATAGAATGATAGATAGGTAGATATACAGATAGATAGATAGATAGATAGACTTAATAAATGAAGGTTTTTGAATCAGGCTGCGAGAACACTTAAATTCCCAGAATGATTTATCTGTCGTGAATTACTTTGAATTACAGTTTAGCAAATTTCTCTCTTCCTGTCGTTCCACTTCAACTTCCTGTGTGCTGTGGCTAATTCAGACACACACTCATGACTTGTTTAAGTGTGTCTTCTGTGCGATCCTGACTGAAGCGAGTGGTTTTTATCCTGAGGAATCTGATGCTGTCACAGTTGTGTGAGGTGTTATGAACACATGTGCAGACAGGCCTGCGGCTCAGCAGTCAGACTCAAACCCCTGGAGTCCTGAAGTGCGTCCTGAACGAGCTGTATATTGAGGAAGCAGCGGCTCCCTGATGATAGTCTGCTAGCAGTGTAATGAGCTGGCTAACAGAGCTTTATCAGACGCGCTCTTATCCTGGGTCCTGCGGTGAAGCTCAGATTATCCATCAGTCTGCTCCACAGCGGCACAGAGATAGCATCGGACGCTCGTCGTTAGACGGCTCAGCGCACGGCATTGTGGGATGCTGACTGAGGAACACGAGGAGGTTTGAGCAGCTCTGCATCAGATGTCAAGCAGCAGGTGTCCAGCGCTTTTCACAATACACTTAGTTTTCAAAGCAGAACATCATGATGTTCATGCTTATAACACCTTAATATCCTCATGCCTCATAGTTGTATTTATCAGATCAGATTAGGTAGATTTTGCGAGAATATAAACAATCAAGCAGTTGAGATTTGCTGTGTAGTACATATCAGTTTACATGAGTGTACTGTATGTATGCAGATGAAGGACATCATTTCATATGCAACTTTAAATAAAGAGCTGAGTGATAATATAGTATGATTTTTGCATCACAATTTCAGATGCAACATTTATGTGAGGAGAGCATATGAATCAGTCATGCAAAGTGATTTAGTAAGCTGTGCACTAGTCAGTTTACTGGTATTTTCAGTAGTTGTAGATTTGCACTGCTCTGGATTGATCGCGTCGGTCATTATGGAAATATTCAGCGTCAGTAGATCAGCATAACTTCACACTCCCATCGGTGTCTTTATGACATGGTGCTCTCGCTGTAATTTACCTGTTTAGTAAATCTTTAATGCATTTAAAGTCAGTATCTGAGGCTGGTGGAACAGTGTTTCCGTGTTTAACAGAGACAGTGTGAAAGCCAGAGCTGAGTTTGTTTGTGTGTCTGCTCTTAAACTCTTGAAGTGCTCAGTTAAGCAGGATTATCTTCCGCACGGAGACCAATGTTTGAGAGGAGAGTGCAACACTTTTCCTCATTTATTTGGTTATCCCTGTGGGATCAGAGCAGGATTTCTTCCAGGAGTCATGATTCCTGTGCCTCAAACACTCCTGCCTCACACTTTATTCTTCAGTTTAGTTATATGTCAGTAATTTAGTCATTTGCAGCTTTGGATGGAAACCGTTATTATGATCAGACCAGAATGAAAATGAATGAAATACAGTGAGTGATGAATTCATAGAAGATCAGCGAGTGTTGTTTCTGATCTCGTGCCAATCACTGAATCCTTTGAAGAGTTCCTCCCTGTGTGGGGTCAGTAACCGCTGACCTCTGACCTCAGCGCAGATTCATTCATTCACGCCTCTCATTCGTTAGCCGCTGGCGTTTCATGTAGCTGACCACGAAATCACAGGAATTGAGCGTGTGGTACCGTTTAGATGCAGATGAATCACACGCAATCATGTGGGAGGAGGAAGATGAACGACGTCTTCATCAGGCCTCGAGTGTGTCTTTAAAACCGAGAGCTGCTGTGTGTGTGTTTGAGTGTGTGTGTGTGAGTGAGAGAGAGTGTGTGTGAGTGTGAGTGTGAGTGTGTGTGTGTGTGTGTGTGTGTGTGTGTGTGTGTGTGTGTGTGTGTGT